TATATAAACGTCAAAGCTAATATGTAAAAGGCAAATATATTTCTAAACGTTATCATGACAACATGGATCTAACAATGAACTGGAAGAAACGTCGAGGAGTTCATAGTATTGGTAATGTAAACGTAAAGAATGAATAATTGGACACTGGCCGTTATGAGCATATTGAATAAGGCTTAAATTGAAATTTCTGTTGTTGTTTTTTTGTCAAGACTGCTTATTAGGCAATAATATGTGGCAATATTAAACCAATTATTTTTCTGTTTGTGTACGTAACGTGCAATTTTATATTCAAACTCCTTGCTTCATATTCGCAGCTAAAGCTGTAATACAACATAATTCCAGATCTTACAACGAAGACTATTTCACCTTTAACCAGCCATATTTGATTAGTATTGTTAACAAAACAAAAAACATAAAAGGTGAGCATATTGATTGTCACGTCGTATTTCTTTATTTTCTGCGAGTAAATAAATTATTATAAGTACCGATAAAATAGTATTGTGAATTCTGCCCAGATTGTGAATCTGAGATTTCATATTTAACGACCAGTTGTCTCATAAACATGTTTTGCATTATGAAACCATGGGTGCGCTTTAAAGGTGACCGTCAAATCCTACTATTCGATCAGAGTTGGCGGTGGGTGTTGTAGATTAGCTGCTTTCCCTCTAGTATATCATCAGTATCAGTTTAAAATTGAGGCGGTATGCACTTATAGCCCTTGTTTAGGTTTGCGCGAAATTGTGAAACAAATAAACCTAATAAATCATTGGAGAACTCTAGAGTAAACGATTACCTTTACCTTCCCTTGGGTTCTTAAAAATTCAAAACTGTTTAGAAAGTACAGGGTGGGCAATAGAAAAACCCCTAATAAGAACATAAACATACTAATTATATTTGGTTTCGGGGGAAAGGGATAGCAAAGGGGGGAGGAGGGTAGCATTGGCACACCCTGCACGTCCACGAGGACATATTTGTTTTGAACTTCTTTACGGCGTCACCAGAAGTGCAGAAAGAAATACATTCAAAAGGGGAGTGATCTTATTTCTTGTAAGTAACTCATCAGGACTGTTTTAAACTTGTGTACGGGTTTGACACATTAAGCCAGAAAATTAGCTACGTTTTGTATTTCCGCTGAAGAGTAATTATCTTTGTCATCTGAGAAGACAAAGAATTTGTTCATTCCAGTGGGTTTGTCTCGGTTCTTGCTATAAAAATGAGTATCTGGTATCATAATAAAAAAAAACTAATATTTATATAAACAGATAAATATCAGATCGTATAATCATGTAATATGTATGTTTGTTTGTTGTTGAATTTCGCACAAAGCTACACGAGGGCTATCTGCACTAGCCGTCCCTAATTTAGCAGTGTAAGACTAGAGGGAAGATAGCTAGTCATTACCACCCACCGCCAACTCTTGGGCTACTCTTTTTACCAACGAATAGTGGGATTGACCGTCACATTATAACGCCCCCACGGCTGAAAGGGCGAGCATATTTGGCAGGAGGGAATTCAAACCCGCGACCCTAAGATTGCAAGTCGAGCGCCCTAACCACCTGGCCATGCCGGACCTGCTGTAATATGTAAGATAAACGTGTTACGGTAGTCAGTTAATAGAATTAAGTAATAAAACTTGTACTGTGAACGTCTAAATAACCCATTATAACAAATACAATTCTTGTTAGTCCGGTTGAAATAATTGTAAGGAACACTACCAAACTTAAAAAAAAACAAATCAATCTGAGATAGAAATTATGCAGAAACATCCAAAATGACAAGCAAACATCGGCATTAAAGGACATAACGTTTTAGAACTAGCTAGATTTTACTGTTAATTTTAACCAATGTCCTTTTTTTAGCTAGTTTTAGTATACCTTCGCAATGCATAGAAATGATAAGTAGGTATCTTGGGCAATAAAACAGCTGCTGCGAATTATACAGTGTAAAATCGTGTTCATCGACAACTTTCACCATCCTTACTCTAGTACTTTTTCGTGTTCTAATATTATAGTTTAATGTCACATGGGAACTTTGAGTGTTTATGTTACGATAGGAGACAAGGTACTAAGCGATAATAAGAAATAAAAAGTGATATCTATCAATTCGATCAAGATCACGTGACTATGATAACAGCTATCAACATAGGAAGGAATATATCGTTCATGGTTAACTCTAGTTCACAGTAAATCCTAATTCACAGCCAAATGTAGGTAATGATTAATTATAATTCAAAGTGAATGCTAAATTACTGAGAATCCAATTGTCATGGGTTGTTCTGAATTACGACAAACCCTAAAGTGTAGTCCATTATAAACCTTAGGTCATAGTTAATTCTTTATCACAATATATTTTAAAGCAAGGATAATGCAATGTTTTGATAAACTCAAAGTCACTCTGTATTTTTTGTTAAGGTATGGCATCACGATCTATATAGACAATAATCGTCAAGCGAAGTTACTTAACAAAATGAAATGAAACCCGAACAACATTCTTCGAAAATAAAAAAGGTTTTGGTCCAGCCCATTTTTCGTATAAATGTTTGTATGATTATAAACAAGAAGTTTTCAATATGTTTTGCTTAATCCTAATTCACATCAATTATAACTCATGATGTTACACTCCAATTCTATTTATTGGTATCAAAAATATAAACAGCAAAATGTGAAAGATGTATTTCCTTTATTCTTATGAATTCATAGTCTTTGTTATCTGTATAACTTTATGTAAAACACAGAACATATTAGTTAGATCTCTACAAGTCAGATCTAATAGTGTTAATTAAGTATCAGTTTTTCTGCATAACAGTTGAGGTTTTTGATGATCTGCTTAACACAATGTTTCATACCTTTCACCAAAGATGCTTGTTCCAGTGTGGTTTCTTTTGAATACTTGTTGCTTAATGGACGTTTTAAAGGGTGTGTGTGTGTGTTAGAAGTATCGTGTACAATTATATCTATGATGCGCAATCTGTGGGGACCCTCAACCAGAGAGCGCACAACTATGACATAGAAGTGTATAAATTATACCTGAAAGTACGAAATACAGATAAAGAGATTTTAAACCCTACCGTATAAAGATCACTACTATTAAGTAATATAGTAACAACAATTAACTAGGGGAAATTCCATGCACGGTATATACACAAATAGGTTATACGGGATTCCCCCGGTTGGACAGCGGTAAGTCTACGGATTTGCAACGCTAAGCTCTGGGGTTCGATTCCCAGTGATGGACACAACAGATAGTCCAATGTGGCTTTGATACAAAACAAACACAGTTATACGGGATGGAGGGGAAGGCACCATAAAAACGTTTGTGTAACAGTGAGTTACTAGAGAATTTAACAACGTAATAGGATGACTTTCGAGACCAATGAATTACGTTCATTAGCAGGATTTTCTCGTGTTTACATTCGTATTCAATTAAAAAAAAACGGATCTGTATGGAGCTTATAGCGTTTGTAGTGCCATCTACAGAGTTTATTCTAGGTAAGAGTACACAACAAATTAAGAAAAACTTGTTTTGCTATTTCTCAAACATTAATCATTCAGTGTGCACTTTTTGGTTTAAAACTCAATCTAGATTATTATTTCAGGAGCACCATATCTTACACTTTAGGAACAAATCTTTAATAACAAAATTGTAATCTTTGTATTTATACTGTGATCTTGAATAGATACTTAATTAAAAGTCGTAGTTTTAGTGAGGATATTATAAAAATAGGAAACGCAGAATGTCACTATACAACTAATAAGTAGAATGGTAGTTTTAGTGAGGATATGATAAAAGTATGAAAGGCAGATCGTTACCATACAACTAATACTTCAAATGATATGATAATATGATAAAAGTATGAAAAAGCGTAACGTCACGGTACAACTAATACTTGAAATGGGGACATGATCAAGATCGGAAAAGAGGGGGAAAAAGCGGTTCCTTTCAAAAATGATGATATTACTGGATAACGGGGGCATAACATCTACACGTGGAGAAATTAAAAACATTGTAAAATACAAAATAGGACCAACCTTCTGTGCTTTGCACATTCCTGCCAAAGCCTGGACGTCGTGATTGGCGTGCCTACCGTCCGTTAAACACAGACCACACACAGCGATTTTACAAGACATACAGTACATCCCTAGAGGCTCGGCCGAGTGCTCCCCACAGTGGGTCTTCTTCTCTTTACTCCTGGATCTAAGAGTGGCCTTACCTTGCTGTGGATTAACCAGCGAATGAGCAGCTAGAGGTCCTCGAAGTGGGTGACACTTTTCCCTACAGTCGTCACAGTAGAACACTTCACATTGTTCACACATGACCGTAGCCTCCATGGGTTCATCCTCACACAGCTGGCAATGGATTGGCAATTCCTTGCTTTCTCCGTACTTGTCCACTATGTTCTGTAATGTCTTGTTCTTTGGCAGGTTATTGGCTCCGTGCTCGTCGAAATAGACTACTTTCTGGCACATAGGGCAGCTCAGAGATAAGGAACTGTTCTGGATTGGAGGAAACAGTATGTTCGGGTTACCGATGTAGCTGCTCGGCCGGCTGTTACACACCACCCCACTATCGGTCTCGCTTACCAAGCTTAGTTTGTCTCCGTCTGGGTAGTCTGCTGTGTTATCACTGTCGTCCGGTGGAGGTTGAAGGTTCTGGGCCGGCTGCTCTCTGTGAAGAGCACAGTTGAGACACAAGGAGTGGTAGCACGGTAAGAGAACAGGGTTTTTGTAGAGGTGCCTACACGCAGGGCATTTCAGTTCTTCTTCCATCGCTCGAGAGTCGGCTCTACATATGAAGAGTGGAAGGTGAAGCTCACGCACGGGACCTCCACATCCTCACATTTGGAGACTACTACCGAGCTACGCAAGACGACCCTTGGCGCTTACTGACGCCTGCGCACAGAATGTCGCCCGTTGCCCAGCTACAACGCTTGCACATACGCTTTCACCTCCAGCACACGTTTAGCTTTGGGTTATTGTCCCTAATAATCTGTAGAGACATTGATTTCACTTAGTTTTGAGTCGCGCCTTTCACTCTGAAAGTTTCATTATACTTAGACTACAGAATCTAGAATATTAAGATTATTCAACGTAAGCCTAACTTTAAAATACTTAATTAGTCTCGATGTGTTTGAACGAAAACGAAGTTTGATGATAAAAAGGATTACGACACTTATGACGAACAACATTGTTTACTTACTTAAAAAGGGACACAGGTGACGGTATCAGAATTTTATCATCTTCAGTATCTAAAGGAAAAATGTAAAGAATTTAAATCAATTGTTGAACATCATTAAAATTATAATGCTACATTTAAGAAAAAAGCGCATGGAAATTGAATAAGAGAAGTTACAACAAGAAAACATACAGAAATTAGGAATAATATCAATATTATTATATACATTAAAAAATGTGCAATTTAAATGAAGACTGCGGGATATTGAGGGTCAGAGAATGTTGTATGAAACCATTCAAACCAGCAAATAAGCTAATGATAGGTCATGTGATCTGAAATACAAATGATTGGTCATCTAGTTTATGCTGTATATCTATACAGTTACACACATGTATATACATATAGTAGACTTAGATAATCTTGTCTCATTTGCCATTTCGAAGCGAATCACTGTGTTTAAAGCAAGTGATTCTGGAGTTTCAATTACGTGAAGAGCCATCAGAAGAATGGAAGCCAGCCAATCATGAAAGTCAATTAAAATTTTGTTACAAGTATGTTAAAACTGTCGCTGTTGGAATCTGGAACTGCATTCAAACCAATGATGCAGTGACTCGGGCACCAGATTAATATTTTAAGAAACATTGTTTGGCACAATGTTATTTGACGCCCAAAACAAAGATAGAGAATTAACGAACATACAATAAACCAGTCAACTTCAGATTGTATTTATTTTTTTCAAGCTTTCAGCTACTTATGCCATAGGCATGGTCAGGTCAAACTGGTCGTCATACTCAGTTCGGCCATACGGAGTTGACCAGTTAATTACACATTTGTTAATGTTTGACGCATTTATATTTTCACCAATAAAAAATAAAGTTCGATTCGTTTCAGAAACACAATATTTATAATGTTACAAATGTAAGAGTATGTAAATAACAACGTACAATAAAGTGGGAGAAGCCAGTAATGTAGGGATTTTATTCTCCATGTAAAGTCGAGACAGCTTAGTCTATGTGATCATTAGCCGATCAAGTGATATGTCCATTTCCACTCGTATCTTGTTTGGTTCCTTTTTTCAAGTTCAGTAGCCAACCCTACATAGCTTTTCTATTTAGCGATATTTTTCCCTTATACTTGTGTGTGTGTATACAGCTTACAAACTATTGAATACATTAATTGTTAATTGGTGATTAACTTAGCACTATAAAACAATAATGGATTAAATATCGCTATACCGTTTTCGGTCCTGGTTGTCAACTTATTGTCATGACGGATAATGTCTGTGGTAATAGCACCCAAATGTGTTGATGATATCCC